TTTAATCCCAGTGCTGGGAGACAGAGACTGGTAGATCCCTAAGTGTTCACTGGCTAGCAAGTCTAACATACTTAAATGAGTTCCAGTCCCTGTGGATGACATCTGAGTTACAACACCCAAGCTTGTAGTCGGAAGGTTTCTCCAGTCCTGCCCAGTCCCACTGTCCCACAGCTGCTTATAAAATAATCACTCAGAGGCTTAATACTATTTACAAACTGTATGGTCTAAGGCAGGCCTCTTGCTAGCTAGCTCTTGTATCTTAACCCATTTCTATTAATCTATAAGTTGCCACATGGCCATGGGTTACCAGTCTGCTGGTATCTTGTTCCTTGGGCAGCAGGCTGGCGTCTCTCCTGTCTCTGCCTTTCTTCATCCTGTCTCTCTCCTTTCCTGCTTGTCTCTAAGCTGCCTTGCCATAGGCCAAAGCAGCTTATTTATTAATCAATGGGAACAACATATATTCACAGTGTACAGAAAGACATCCCCCAGCACAAGCTTGTCCTCTAGCCTCCACACAGACATCCACAATTACCAAGCACACACATACATATGTGAACACACACAGCTTCTAGCAACAATGTTGGATGCTAACAGACTTTATAAAACTATATTTTCCTATAGATTTAACTATTACTGGTACCTTGAGTTTGCAGCAAAAGATCATTAAAATGAGTAAATGTGGTATTGTATTCCCCCAAATATTGTGCATGCTAATAAACTTATCTGGGGTCATAGACAGAACAGCCACAATATTAAACATAAAGGATAGGCAGTGGTAGCACACAACTTTAATCCTAGCATTCCAGAGGCAGAAATCCATGTGTTCAAGGATACAGCCAGGCATGCTGACTCATCACGCCTTTAATCCCAGAAAGCAAGCCTTTAATCCCAGGGAGTGGTGGCAGAAAGCAGAAAGGTATATAAGGCGTGAGGACCAGAAACTAGAAGTATTTGGCTGGTTAAACATTCAGGCTTTTGAGCAGCAATTCAGCTGAGACCCATTCTGGATGACGATTCAGAGGCCTCCAGTCTGAGGAAGCAAGACCAGCTGAGGATCCAGCGAGGTGAGGTAGCTGTGGCTTGTTCTGGCTCTCTGCTTTTCCAGTGTTCACCCCAATAACTGGCCTCGGGTTTGATCTTATTAATAAGACCTTTTAAGATATATAGCAAAGGTTTATCAGGTCTACCAATTCTAGAATGTTCAAGTACACAAAAAAGGAGAGTTCTGCCTTACTCTATGCCGTGGTGCAGCACAAAAATGTTGGGGAATAGTATTTTAAGGTGTGTTACTTTTGCTCATGTTGCATTTGTTTAACTCTGTGAAGCTGTGTAACTTTGCCTGTCTAAAACACCTGATGCTCTCTAATAAAGTGCTAAATGGCCAATAGCAAGGCAGGAGAAAGGATAGGCGGGGCTGGCAAGCAGAGAGAATAAATAAGAGAAATCTGGGAGGAGAAAAGAAGTAGCCAGAGGAGGAGGAGGAGGAGGAGGAGGAGGACTCCAGGGGTCAGCTACCCAGTTGCACAACCAGCAATGGAGTAAGAAACCAAGAAAGGTATACAGGAATAGAAAAAGAAAAGCCCAGAGGCAAAAGGTAGATGGGCTAATTTAGGTTAAGAAAAGCTAGCAAGAAACAAGCCAAGCTAAGGCTAGGTATTTATAATTAAGAATAAGCCTCCGTGTGTGTGTGTGTGTGTGTGTGTGTGTGTGTGTGTGTGATTTATTTGGGAGCTGGGTGGCAGACTCACCTAAAGAGCAAAAACACAACAACAATAACTATATCCCACCAATGTTGGTGTGTTTCTTTTATTTATCTCAGAAGGGTTCCTAAGTCCTTTGTGACTTCTTCCACTGTAAGTGCAAAACATTAATTGCCATATATTTTCTGCTGTCAATATTCCCTGTTCCAGGTTTTCAGTTTCATTTCATTATGGTTCTGAGATGGTATTTTCTATGATTTTTTTTTTCTCCAAGGCATTCGGCTCTTTAATATTAGATGGGAAGAAGCAGTCAATGGGGAGATGACTCTGGGAAATTCTGTAGGCCTTGTAGTTCTCTAAGTCCCTCTAGCATCATGCGGATATGAGCCTTGATATTCCCAGAGTCCTTGGTGAGGTTGTCACTGAGCTCTGTGAGGAGAGAACTCTTCCGGTCAATGAACTTGAGAGCTTCAGCCAGTGTCAACTCGAGGAAAAAACCATATCCCAGGGCCACACAGATGCGGGAAGTGTCTGGGACCACTGTGTCAACGAAGAAGTTCCAGCCCAAATCCACCTGCATATGTAACTCCGAGCACTTAGTTTCCTGGAGTCGCTCAATGACATTTCTCAGTCGAAGGTATACAGATAGCTGCTCATACACCTCGTCTCGGTGATCCAGCACCTTTTGCAAGTCTCGCTGCAGTACATCACTGATAAAGGCCTCGTACAACAGCACTTTCTCTGCTACAGTATCCAAGGCCAGCCGTTTGGTGGGTGTCGCCATGATGGGCTCCTTGGGCCACTGGCAATAACTCTATGATTTTTATTATGTTAAATTTACCTAGAATTGTTGAACATAGATTATTTCTGGTGCCTTGGTCTTTTCCTATAAAAATATGATCAATTCATGTGAAAACATACAAAAACTATTGCTCAGTATACATCTCCATTTTTCCACACCTACAGGGTTTTATCACAAGTTATACCTTTTTACACAGGGCCTGTAATGTCACAAATTTTTTCCTTTTTACACAGTGTGCTTTGTAATGATCGTGTTACACATTTCCATTTGTCTATTAAATTATAAGTTGATTTCTTTTTTAAAGATAGGGTGTCTCTGTCTGGTGTAGTGACTCCAGAGGCAGAGGCAGATGGATTATTGTGAGGTTGAGGCCAGCCAGGGCTACACAGTAAGACCCTATCAAAAAAAAAAAAAAAATAGTGTCTCCCTTGCAGCCCCACCCAGCCTGGAACTAGCTATTTGGCCAACTCTACTTGAGTTCTTCCGGCTTCTGCCTCCCCAGTGCTGGGATTACAAAAGCAAGCAGTCACGTCCAGCATAAAGTGATTCTGATACAACCTCATAAAGTGGGTTGTATGATGAAATTTGAACCCCACACCCAGGTAAAGTACCTTGTCTACAACTCCCCAGCCATATAAATCATGGCGCTAGGATTCAGCTCCATACCTTTTACACTCACTTCTCAATTCTAGACCTTATATTCTCATTTCGTTCATCTTATTCTGAGGAATCAAATTATTTCCAAGTTAGTGCCCACTCAGTCCATTTCTGATCCTAGCACACAGGGCCCACCCATGCGAGACTATCAACCAACTGAGCTGTATAGCCCTAGCTCACCGTTTGAGTGTCTCGGATTAGTGGTGGGTGCTATTATGTGCTTCAAACTCAGGAAGTTCTCATTTTCTTCCTCTGAAGATGCTGAAAATCGAACCCAGGGTCCTCTACCAATGAGCTGCCTCTTCAGCCTTAAATTTTCCTGTTTGATCCCAAACCTTTAGGAAACTTGTTTCTTACCTGTCCTGGGATTCCGGCACTCTACCTAGCACCCATCCACAATTATTTCTCTGTCAAAATCGCCATACATTACGTCGCCCAGATTCAAATTTCGGATTTACCACTACTGGCCATTTACAGTCTCAAAGACGAAACTGAAAGTCCTGACGGGCTTGGCTGATCTTGGAAGCAGAGTTCGGCTGGCCGGGGGAGGGGAGGGGGACACGCCTTCCCTCCGGCAGGCGGAAGTGATAGGGACAGTCGCGAGACACCCCGCAGAGGGACGCTGACCGCAGCTCAGGCTCGGGGTTCAGGAGGCGCAGGCACGGTCCCGCCCCGCCGCGCCCCGCTGCGCCACTCCGGGGCGGAAGCGCCGCGGCTGGAACGCTGGCTTCGGGGACCCAGCAGCGGACCGTCCGGCGCCCGGGGCGTGCAGCCGGGACCCCCAAGCAGGTGCGTGGGTGCCCCAGCAGGGCATCGGATCGCTCCCAGGGCCCGGGAAGTCCTGGCTGGGTGGCCGTGATCTTCGCTGACGCACTTAGGCCGGGTGGGCCCGGGAGGTCAACCTTGTCTGCGGGAGCAGACCTCCCTCCCGGAGAGCCGCAGCAGATCGCCGCGTTTCTTGACTCTCTGGAAGTTGGATTTCCAAGGAAACTTAGGCAAAAGTACCCTAGTTCGGTGAATCCTGCGGAGAATGCAAGAAGCACGGTAGTAGAAGAAATGGGCTCATTGAGGTCTGGAGTTGAAATTTAGCCAAACCTGACTGGGTCCTAGCACGACTAGCTAACTGAGTAAATAATAAATTTTAAAAGGGAGGGGGTGGGTGGGTTAATTTGCAGTTTTAGCCAAGACTGGGGATAGAGAAATTCTTAATCTGTCTGGGCCTTGCCTGTGGCAATGTTACAGTTTGTTTAAAAGAAAAAGAGACAGGGCAGGAAATATGCCTGTGTAGGTTGGTCCTTGCGCCGAATTCGTGCCTCTGTCCTCCTAGAAGGTACTTCTGGTGTTACAGCCATATTCTTGGTTGTCAAGTTGACGCACCTGGGAAGACTGAACCTCAGCTGAGTAACTGTCTCCGTCAGATTGGCCTCTGGGGTGTGTCTGCCCAGCATTTTCTTGATTGCTACCTGATTAGCCCGCCGTAGGTGTCATTTCTGGGCACCCAGGTGAGCAGAGCTGAAAGCAAACCAGTAAACCGTTCCTCCAGGGCCTCTGCCTCGGCGGTGGTTCTAACCTGCCTAATGCTGCGGCCTCATGTCATGGTGGTGACCACCAACCATACGATTATTTCCGGTGCCACTTCATAACTGCAGTTTTGCTACTGTTATGACTCGTAAATGTCTGTTTTCCAGTGGTCTTAGGCGACCCCTCTGTGGAAGAAACGCTTGTCTCTGGGGTCGCGACCCACAGATTGAGAATCTCTGTCTGGAAGTCATGCCCTGACTTCCTTTCATGATGGACTATAATCTGTGAGAGGAAATAAACTCTGTCCTCTTCAAGTTGCTTTTGGTTATGATCTTTATTACAAGAATAGAAACCTGGGGCTCAGCAGTTAAGAGCACTGACTGCTCTCCCTGAGGTCCTGAGTTCAATTCCCAGCAACCACATGGTGACTCACAGCCACCTGTATTGAGATCTGGTGCCCTCTTCTGGTCTGCAAGGACTCATGCAGGCAGAACACTGTATACATAATAACTAAATAGATCTTTAAAAAAAATAGAAACCTAATTAAAACAAGGCTCTTGAGCAGGCCTCTTAATTCCTACCGTGGTATTTCCTGCTGGGATCCTATTTCACAAGGCCAGGTTATGAAACATTCAAGTAAGTAAAATAGTTCTTGGCGAGATTGAGAATGATTCATTAGAGGAGTGGGTAGACCTCAGCCTTCTATGGATTCTGGTCTGTAAATGACAATACATTAATGGCAGCAAACCAAGTGTGGTGTTTTAAGGGAGAAAGTCATTCTGAGTGTGAGCGAATTGCAGAATTTTTCATCACCTTTGACTCCATCTTTATTCAGGAAGTACTTTTTAGATACATGGGTTTAACACTGTGTGCTAAGGAGATGCATCCAGAGGTGCCTTGTGGATGTCATTTAGTCTGGTCGTGCTAATGGTGTTCAGAAGGCTTTTCTAGAACCCGGGGTTTTTCTGTGAGTGTTTTAAAGTGATCTGGATTCTAGCGAGGCATATAAATAAAGCACAGCTCCTAAGTAGAATTAGTCTTCGTGTGGAAATGATGACAAGGGCGGACAACAGCCGATAAGAGCAGAGTAGGATGCAAGCGGTCAGTTCTCGGACCCATGGCAGGTGACCAATAGGAAGACAGTTCTTGATGGGTCAGCCCTGGGACTTCCAAAAATGAAGAAGTGTAGCTGGTAAAGGCTCCCCGCTACCATTTGTTAGGGAGGCAGCCTTTCCTCCACAGTGTGTTTTGTAAACTTCTGTCAGAAGTTAGGTCTCTGTGGCTAGGTGGGCTCTCGATCCTCTCTTCTGCTGCATCCATCTATATGTCTGTTTTTACGGTAGTACCATAGAGTTTGGTTGCTATGACCTGCAGTATAACCTGAGATGAACATTGTTCTTTCTGCTAAGGATTGCTCTGGCTATTGGGGGTCTTTTATGCTCCCACATGAATTTTAGGACTTTTTTTCCCCTACTTCTTTGAAAGTGGTGGGGATTGCTTTGAATCTGTGGATCATTGTCAATAATGCAGCTATTTTTTAATACTATCCCGTCAGTACATTCCCATGGGAGGCTTTTCCTTCCAGTTTCTTCTTCCAATTGTGTTTTAAGTTTTTTTTTTTTTTTGTGATATATATATTTTTTTTTT